CGGCTTTCCCGACTGGCTGGAGAAGAGGTGGCTTCAGCGCGAGGACCATCAACGAGGGAGGTCACTTGCTCTAGTCTCCCTAGTTCTTGAGGGCACGACATGGCCTCGGCGTGTTTCGGAGTGAGCTGAAGCCTTTCTCTTCTCTCCTACGGGTACCCCCTGTTGGCTACGGCGCCCCACGGTGGCCCCGATGAAGCCCCTCGGAGGCGGGCGGCCGGGAGAAGGGCTCGGCGTGTTTCGGAGTGAGCTGAAGCCTTTCTCTTCTCTCCTACGGGTACCCCCTGTTGGCTACGGCGCCCCACGGGGGCCCCGATGAAGCCCCTCGGAGGCGGGCGGCCGGGAGAAGGGAGGCGGAGCCTGCGGCGTGGAGGCGTGTCCAGCGTGCGGAAGTGACGTCGGCGCCGCCATGTCTTTTGAGGGCCGTGTCGGCGCCGAGCCGGCCATGCTGGCTACGGGCACGTGAGTGGAGGCGGCGTTGTGGACCGCGGTGTGGGGAGGATTTGGCCGTCCCGGGGTGGTGGGGCCCTGGGGGAGCGAGCAGCTCGCGGGAGAACTTTGACCTGTGTACAGCAGGGGGACACCGGTCGCCCAGAGACCCTCCTCAACGCTGGGAAGGGGGGCGCCCCCTTAGCGCTGGGAACGGACGCCTCTGAGCCGCGGGAGAGGGGAGACAGCCTTCCCCTCCGGTCTGCAGACCCTTCATAACCCTTATCTTGATCGTGGACCACGTCCACAGGGTCGCGGGTGGTGGTCTGCGGGCCCTGGGGCGCCCCTCACTCGCCTTAAGGCGGGACTTCCGGTCGTGGTCCCCATCTGGGCGGGACTTCCTGTTTTTTTCCCCCTGAGCTCTGTGGGTCTTCTCTGGACCCCTAGGCGAGGTGGGGCGGCGCCTCTTCAGTGAGGAACAAAGACTTTGGACGGACCCTTAGCCTGTCCCAGCCTTAGAAGGGGCAGGTGCCTCCCCAAGTCTTTCAAGTCTTTGGGTGGGCGGGGCTTCCAGGGTGACAGGTGGGTGGATGAGGCCTCACGTGTATCTCTAACTCTTGTGGCTCTCTTCGCCCTTGTCCACACCTCCCCCTGGGGTCAGCCTCCTCACTTTCTCCCCGTTGCTTCGCATTTCATCCCCTACCTGTACAAGACTAGGGGGCAGGCCTCGCCCACCCCTAAATGCCTCCAGACCGATTGGTTTTTTTTAAGCGCCCTGTCCTTAAGTCTTTTCTGACCCCCAGTAGAACCTCTCGATTACGGTTTCCCAGGCGCCATCTTCACGGGGGCAGACCACCTTATCTTTCTCCTTCGGAGCATTTGGTGGGTTTGAACCCCTGACCCTGGTGGTTAGCAGCTCCTTCAGCGCCCCGTTTATGCCAGCAGGGTGCCTGTAAGTCCTCCTTGGGGATAGCCAAACCTAGTGCCATCGAATCAATTCCGATTCATGTCAGCCCTCTCTGGGGTTCCAGGCTGTAAATCTTTACAGGAGCAGATAGCTGAATCTTTCTCTGGAGTCTTCCCAAGCCGCTCGGCTCCTTGGGGCATTCCGAAGCTGCAGGGGAGGGTGACTTCTGAGGTCTTGGTTACTCCCCAGCTGGGAGACAGACTCCAAAGACACCCCCCCACCCCACCCTCCAGGCTTTGGCAAGAGGGGTCTGTATGGGCACTCTACCTTTTCTTCTTTATTTTTCCTTGTTTCCCCAGTGCTTTTACTTTGGACCTGTGGGGAACTTCATGACCCAGCCCGAATTATGGTACCCTTTAAAGTCGAGTGCCCTCCCCCTTGGGCCCCCCACGTCATTCCGGCCCAGACCCTGTACTGCCAGTCTCTGTGCTGTTGGCCCAGTGGCTATTCCGCCCTAGGCCTGGCTTCCCCCAGGCCAGATGGAAGTGACGTGATGGGAGGAGTGAGTGCGTGCGTGCGTGTGAGAGGCATGGATCACCTCCGGGTTCATAGGTGCTTTTGAGGTCTAGCAGGCCCCATTTCAACCCGTTTCACCGTTGCTAACCAGGTAGCCTTCTGGTCCCTGTTAAACTCTGAGCCCAGTTTCCCCATCTGGATAAGGAGCTATGCTGCAGCAGCGTGGCTTTAGTGAGAATGCTCTGGAATAGACCCCTCAGAGTCCCAGTCCCCACCCTCCATCTTCCCAGTGACCCCGAGTGACCTGATAGCCTTGGGCCTTAGTTTGCCCTTGGGAAGGAGCTATGGGAGGGCCCAGTGTGGGGCTGGGGTGAGGGAGCATGGTGCCCTCAGTTCCTACCTGGCTGCCTGTGCATAGCACTCTGTACCCCCTCTTGCTATGGTACCGGATGGGGGTGGGCGGATCCTCCACTCCTGCGGTCATTACTCCTATCTTGGTTGGTGGATCAGGTAGAAAGGGATTCTCTCAGAGGGGGTGGGGGACAGGACTTAAAGGAAACAGTGTTGTTGACTGTGCACATGAGGCACTTTGTGGCCCTGGTTGGAGTCCCTGATTGGAGTCCCTCCAGCAATGGGCATAGGGGGAGTCCACTGGCTACCCAAGGGGGGCTCACCTGGCCCAGAGAGCAGCTCGCTCACCTTGAATGCTCTCTTCCAATCTGTGCCCCAGAGGCTGGCAGGGCTGGGGGCTCTTAGGTAAGGCCTGCCCTCAGGAGGCTGCAGGCTCTACAGGGGGTGAGGAAGGGGCTGGGATGCGGGGGGAGGGGGACATCACTCAGGTTCTGTGGGAACCCAAAGGGGTGGGACACCCGGATACTCAGATTGTGTAGGAGATTTGGGTAGGGAACGAATTAGGGTCTCATGGTGCCGGTAGGGCTAGAGTAGACCCCATTGGCCACGACGTGTGGGCGGGGCCCTGAGAGGGGCGGGGCCACAGTCCCCAAGGCCTTTAGGGCCCTGTGGCTAGGGAGCCAGCACTTGGACCTTGCTAGAGAGCTGTAGAGTCAACTGCTTGTTTAGGAAACGAGCTCTGAGGCCAAACCCAGGTAAGAGGCTGGGGTGGGGGTTCAGGGCACCTCCAGCCAGGAGAGAGAGAGAGAGAGAGAGTGAGAGTACAAGCTGCTGAGAGAAGCTACGGAGCCCTCGAGGCACGCTGTGAGTGCCGGGATACAGCTAGTCATAAGGCCTGTGGTTCAAGCCCAAGGTCGCTGCTGGGAAAGCAAGATGAGGCAGCCTGCTCCTGGGAAGATTCACAGTCTCAGAAACCCTGTGGGGCAGTTCTGTTCCGTGGTCCCATAGACTCCCTGGCTGTGCGTCTGTCGCTGAGAATTTTCAGGAAGACACGTCCCAACAGATGGGATTCGTCCTCCTAGGTGGAAAGATGTTCCTTTCCACCGGCATCAGTAGATCAACAGTTTCCTCCATCGCTTCAAAGTCAGGCAAGAGGCAGGGGAGGTGGGGACCGGCCAGGCAGATACGGAGTGATGGGGCTGGGGCTCAAGGGCACCCTAAGTTCGGTAACCGCTGGAGAGGGTGAGTTTGGAGAAAAGATTCTGGATTTTGAGCCCCTCTGGCCCATGACAGCAGTGGGGAGGGGTTGGGGGTGGGGGGAGGGTCAGGGGCACCTGAACCCAGCTCTGACCTGTCTTCCCACAGGACTCGGATGGCATCAGGCCGCCCCGAGGAGCTGTGGGATGCCGTGGTGGGGGCCGCTGAGCGCTTCCGGGCCCAGACAGGCACAGAGCTGGTGCTGCTGACGGCTGCCGCGCCCCCCCTCCGCCCGGGCCCCTGCACCTTCGAAGCCCATGGCCGCGGGGCCCTGGCTGATGCCGCCCGACGCTGTCTCCATGACATTGCCCTGGCTCATGGGGTGGCTGCTGCTGCCCGACCCCCGGTGCCTCCACCAGTGCCCCAGCAGCCTAGCCCACCTCGGAGCCCACCGAGGCCTGCCCTGGCCCGGGAGGAAGACGAGGAGGAGGAAGAGCCTGCAGAGGTGGAGACCTCGGGGGAGAAGATGGGCTTCAGCGACAACGGGGGTGAGAGACGTTGAGGGGCTGGCTGCGAACAAGCATGGGCCAGCTGTCTGCATGCCCATCTGCGTTTCCTGGACGGGCCTTGGGCAAGTCATTTCCCCCACCTCTAGCCTGTTTCCCTACTCAGGGTCCCAAGGGCCAGCTGGGCAACTCAGAGCCCACTGGGGTCTTGGCTTGAGGGACTAGGCTGGGCTGATGAATTGCAGTCCTGGAGGGAGGGGGTCAGAGCTGGGGGACTTGCCTCCCGAGTCAGGGACATGGACACAGAGGAGCTGTTTCTGTCCCTGAGACAAATGCCTGGGAAGCCGGACGGGAGTGGTGCAGGGACTGGGTACTGGCTGGGGAGCCAGGAGAGGGGCCAGCCAAGCTGTCTTCAGGGAGCATCGGAGGTGGGAGACCTCCCCGGGGCAGGGCTCTCAGACTCAGGCCTGGAAAGGTGCACAGGACTCTGTAGGGGGAAGCCATTCTGACTCAGCAATCCCTTAGACCCGTACAACTGCCCATCAGGGTTCCCAGACAGAACTCTTTACAGGAACAGAGCCGCTGGGGGCTTTGCCCCCATAGAGTCCCTGATGGGTTTGAAGCCCACTGACCTTTTAGTTAACAGCCAGGGATCGATCCCTCCCCAGGGTTCCTTTCCTAGGTAAACAGGAGTTACCATGTTGTTTTTGTGTCTGTCACTCCCGACAGCTGCCCTCCTGGCAGCCTCCATTTAAACCCCAGTGACGCGACTTGATCCGGGAGGCCTCTGGGCAGCGACTTCACCCTGTGCTTTCAGGTAGCCCTTGGCAACCTTGGGCTCCCAGCAGCCGCTGCGTTTCTCCCAGGAGAAGAAACCAGATTTGCTCCCGCCTGCGGCCAGGCTCCAGCAAATATGGGGAAGGGTGTTTTCGGCAGAGGGAACAGTCATCACTAAAGCCCTGAGGCGTGAAAGGGCTGGGGCCATGGTGGGGGTTGGGGGGCGGTAGGTGAGCGTGTCATGCTGGGACCCTGAACCGACTGTCCTGGGCACCTGCCACCTGCAGGGCTTTTTGTGATGGACGAGGATACCA